ATTCTAGGCAGGGGCTCTACCACTGAGCCACACCCAGCCCCTCATTGGGGATTCTAGGCAGGGGCTCTACCACTGAGCCACACCCCAGCCCCTCACTGGGGGATTCTAGGCAGGGGCTCTACCACTGAGCCACACCCCCAGCCCCTCACTGGGGGATTCTAGGCAGGGGCTCTACCACTGAGCCACACTCCAACCCCTCACTGGGGGATTCTAGGCAGGGGCTCTACCACTGAGCCACCTCTCTAGCATTCTTTTTCACTTTTTATTTTGAGACAAAGTTACATTAAGTTGTGAAAGCAGTCCTTAAACTCATGATCCTCCTGCCTCAGCCTCCTGAGTAGCTAGAATGACAGACCTGAGATGCTCAAGAGAGTTGGAGGGTGTTAAGAAACAACAGTACACACCCAAGAGATGGGGTGGCCTTATCATGAGTCACCAAGACACATTTAAAATATATATATAAATTACTTGCCAAAGTTTAAAAACTGGATGACTTCACCTAGTGCCTTAGGTGTCTGGCTTATCTTGAATGATTTGGCCTCTCTGGGACGCCCCTTCATGGGACAGAGTGGTCCTACTTTATGCTGTGGACCCTTGTTCTCTAGAAGCTACTCTGAGCCTGTCTGTCAAGCTTTCCAGCCACCTGATTGGCCCTTTGAGCTGCTGAAATTTTAATCCTTATCCTAAAACATCCTTCCCAAGACTTGGGGTCTCTGTGGGAGAGTGGGCCATGGTGAAATGGGAACAGAATTGTCCAAAGCTCAGGAAAGCCTGCTTGACTTCTGAGGGATGAGGTGACGGTAGGAGAGATGCGTGTTTTCCAGTGGCAACAAATTTCTGGTTTAAATGGAAAAAATAGATTCTCTTTTATTTTTGTGCTTTATTATTTAACTTTGAGACAGAGCCTCCCAATGTAGCTCAGGCTAGCCTTGAACTCACTCGGTAGCCCACGTTTACCTCAAACCTGAGCGTTTCCTGACTCAGCCTCCTGAGTGCTGGGCTTCCAGGCACAAATAGCATGCCTGGAAAGAGAGGTCTGTTTTTAAAGAAAACAGTTTCTGGTGGGGCAAGCCTCTTTGCTGTGGTCCTTGGGGACTAAGGATCCCCTAGGAGGCCAGGACACAGGCTGACACGTCACCAAGCATTTTTGCCCATCTGGGGGATGCTAGCTAGGTGGGATTCACAGGGACTGGCCTCTCAGCAGGTCAGTCTGGAAGAAGGGGGAGGCGGAGCTGGGCAGGAGAGGGCACTCAGCTCTAGTCTTCCCCGGTGGGAGGGGGAGGAGAGAGCTGAGCACTTCAGCCAGTGGGGTGAGGGAGAGGACCTGGGGTTTGTGTGGAGTGATGACAGTCTTAGATGATCCATGCAGAATTTGAGGGCAGGCTTCCCTGGCAGCCCCGCCCCCTGTCCACTGCTCCCCCAGAGATCCCGACTCCTCTAGCTGCCTCTTAGAACCCATTTCTCTGCTCAGGACAAAGGGAGCTTTCGCAAACCATGACCACCAGAGGAGGAGCTGCCAGCTGGATGGGAGTCCCACCATGCCCTCACCCCGACTCTCACCCTGGCCCCTGGAAATAAACCATAGCTCTCCCACACTGCGGTCTCTGCTCCTTTCTTCGCCTCCACTGTTGTCCTGGGAGGGGGCAGGGAGATGTGCTGGTGACTGTGGTAGCCCTGGGTCCTGAGGGGCTTGTGAGGGACAGAGCTGGGCGTGGGCAGGCACACAGCACGGACAGCTAGCCAGTCTCTCTCTCTCCATTTCCAGGTTCTGGGGTCCCTAGGGACTCCCAGCATGCCTTTCACACACTAGTTCCGAGGCGTCTTGGGTGGGGGTCAGGGCTTTGGATGAGCAGCGGCGGGCTCCCTGCTAACCTGTCCCCCATCTTTTGTTCACAGGGCCGCCTCCCGCCCCCCAGCACGCGAGCCTTGCTCTACTTCCGCAGACTCTGGGAGGTAGGAGAAGTCCCACTTTCCAAAGGCCTGGGGAACTTGACCATCATGCCCCTACCATGTGTCCCGCACAGCAGCTGTAGCCGCCTACCCGAAACATCGTTCCTCGTTTGGGGGTGTTTGTTTCATTTCTGCAATGCTGGGGATCCAATTGGAGCTTTGCACGTGCTGAGCAGGCCCGGTTACTAAGCGACACCCCCCCCCAGCTCCTCCCTCACTTTTTTTCAGCTGTTATTGTATGTTTCTGAGGGGGGATCTCACCATGTAGCCCTAGCTGGCTTTGAACTCGCTAGCTGGCCGAGGCTGGCCTTGAATTCACTGTGTGACCTGGGCTAGCTTGGGACCCAAATCCTCATGTCTTGGCTTTCGGAGTGCAGGGGTTCTGGGTGTGTACCCTGCACCCGACGACTCTCCTCATCTCTGAGATAGGCCATCTCATTATATTTTATCCCCAACACTATCTCAGATTCAAGCACCCTCAGCTTCCCAAATGCTTATCTTCACCCAAGCCACACCTGGCCCTCCCTGCGGCCACCTGGCACCGGCCCAGTGTGCCGTCATTTCCTCCTCTCAGTTCTGACACCACGGACACTCTCTCACCCATTCTTCTCCTTCCAGAATTTCAAACGCAAAACTCCCTACTTCAACTGGAAACAGATTGAGGTAAGGGGGTTGACGGAACTTCTCATTTTGGGGTGAGGCAACCTAGCTCTGTGGACTCAGGGTGGGCAGTCCGTGACAGATGGCTTACTGGCATCCCTGCCCGCCCGGGTTTCCTCCTGCCCCTGGAGAGGGAGGAGAACTTCCCTTCCCACTTTTTTTGGTTTGTGCAATCCTGAGCTGGGTGGAGCGGGAGAGAAGCTATGAGTCAGGAGGGAGGTGGGAGGGGTCTCCGTAGGATAAAATCCCAGGGCCAGAGGCTTGGGCCTCATTACACCAGAGCAGAACCATGAAGCCAGGCACTGTCTCGGTTCTGCTGCTTATGCTGCTGGGCGTGGCCTGGCGCGGAGACAGCCACAGCTGGGTGGGTACCAGGGGAAGTGGGTGGAGGGGAGACCCCAAGATGGGGAGGAAGAAAGGACTTGGGGTCAACTCTCAAGCGACGGCAGAGGGGTACAGGGGAGGACGCTGAGGGGAATCAGGCGTTCAGGTGGGTGCGGGAGGCCTGAACAGCTGGGTCTTGGGGAGAATGAGCAGGTCCACTGTGTCATCTAGAAAGCCACACAGCAATGCTGAATGGCCAGTGGCCTTTGGGAACCAGAACTGAGACAAGGCTGTCTGAGTTCCTCATGCACACATGTGGGACCTGAGTTACTACAGTGTAATTTTTTTTCAAGAAAAGCTAGAAATCTGATTTTAAATCATTTGCAACTATTTTTTTTTTTTAAAGAAGATCAAACAAAAAGTGTCTAGAGGCCTGTGAGTGACCAGTTTGTGACCTCAGTGTCAGAGCTGGTAGTGGAGCTAAGACTCAGTGTCAGGGGGCCGGGGGTGTAGCTCAGTGGTAGAGCCCCTGCCTAGAATCCCCCAGTGAGGGGGCTGGGGTGTGGCTCAGTGGTAGAGCCCCTGCCTAGAATCCCCCAGTGAGGGGCTGGGGTGTGGCTCAGTGGTAGAGCCCCTGCCTAGAATCCCCCAGTGAGGGGCTGGGGTGTGGCTCAGTGGTGGAGCCCCTGATCCTGGGTTTGATCCTTGTTGTCTGTGTCAGATGTGAGGAGCTGTGGGGAGCACACTGAAACTGCTTCAAATGCTTCCTTGCCTGTCTTCCCTTTCCTGGGAACTCACCTAATCACTGAGCTTTAGGCATCCCATGGAGAGTAACATTCAGTATAGCAGGATCAAGAGGCCTATAGGGAGATGTGGTGTCTGCCAGCACATGGCTGCCTAGGGCTGAGGGACACATGTGGGGTCATCTCCTTGGTTATTCTAGCACCGTCTCCACTCAGAGCTTCCAACCATGCAGCACCTGTGGGGGTGGTGTGTGTCCCACACTGTGGCATCTGTGGGGGTGGTGTGTGTCCCACACTGTGGCATCTGTGG